AGGCAGGCACCTGTTCTCACAGTGGCTCCAGCCTGGGCTACAGAGTTGAGGCTCTGTCTCAAAAACACAACAAAATGATCATATGCCACTGGCTACTGGTGTGCTTACTGTAAAATTAACAGCAACAAAATAACAAACCCAACTGTCTCCCAGAGCTCCCAGACCATGGTGAGCAGTGGATCTGTACATCCAGGTGCAGGTGCCGTCATTCGTGGCTCTTCGACTCTGAGACTCTGTTCATCTGAGTAGGTCTGTGGATTCTAAAACCCTTCACAGTGGGTGAGCACACACCTCCGGGAGCCCCTTCAGGCTGCCCATGCCCTCCTTCCACCCAGCCCAGGCTCACCTTCTGAGGAGAAGTGAGGGGAATGCTGGTCTTGCCCTCAACGCTGACAGTCACGTTCCCAGGAACAACAATGGGGTCAGGTTCCAGTGTCAAGCTGTTGAGCACTGCAGGGTCCTTCCCTTCATCACAGTTATCCCAGGAAAAACCGCGAAGTCGGGAAGGCTGGGGACAATCAGCAAAGGAACAGATGTTTACAAAAGGGATTGTCTCAGCACAGAAAAACCACGGGAACAGGCTGCTGGAGGGCTGTCCTGTGAGTGACACATAAGAACGGGCTGCTGGAGGGCTGTCCTGTGTGTGACACATGCTGGAGGTTGCCCTGTGTGCAGCACCTCCCCTCTACGCTTCCTCATAACTGCATTTTCAAGCTGGGCCTACACTTGTCTTACCCGTTCTATAGAAGGGACTAATCTAAAAGACTCAAAAAACCTCCCAAAGTGTGATGCAGGGCCAGCCACAGTGGTCCACATCTTTAATCCCAGCTCTTGGGAAGCACAGACAGGGAGACCTTGTCAAAAAAAGCAAAGTGTGTCACAAATCTGCAGCACACTGTAACAGACCTTGAACTTCAAAACTAGTGGCACTAGGGATGTAGTTAAATTGTCAGAAGGCTTGCCCGACATACTCGAAGCCCTAGATTTAAACCCCAGCACTGCGCAAACCTGGTGTGATACAGACAGCCTGTTATTCCTACACTTGGGAGGTGGAGGCAGGAGCACCAGGAGTTCAAGTTCATCATCAACTATAGAGCCCATTCCAGGCTAGCCTGAATTCTTAAGACCCTATCTCAAGGAGGAGGGCGAGGGGGGTGGGGATAGCTGAGTAGACCTAGGTAGGTATGGCGTTACAGTTCCATAATGCCAGCACTCAGGTTAAAGGCAAGAAGACAGGCATGTTTAAGGCCAATCCTGGACTAGCCTGGGCAACACGAAAAAAGGGAGGGTTGAAGAGGGGCTCAGGAGGTCCCACCCCTAGCTGAGGCACTACCAGCTGCTGGGGGAAGGGGAGTCACTATTCCTTGGGGGTGAGCCCGCTTACAGGTAACCCATGCACATACACCAGCACTAATTGGACTTGAGGTTATAAAAATAAGGACTGTTGGGGGGATTTGAAGGGAGGAAGGGGATCTGTGTTAGATATGATCAAGAAACACTGCATACAGGCATGAAATTGTCAAAGAGAATGTAGATGTGTTGGGGGTGATTGAGGGAAGTAGGGGGGCATCTGGCTAGATTGATCAAGATACACTGTGCATGAAACTGTCAATGAATAAGTAAAAATATTCTTTAAGAAACCATGACTAAACCAGGCGTGGTGGCGCACACCTTTAATCCCAGCACTCCAGAGACAGAGACAGGCAGATCTCTGTGAGTTCAAGGCCAGCCTGGTCTACATAGTGAGTTCCAGAACAGCAGGAGCTATAGGAGAAAGGAGCCCTGTCTTTAAAAGACCAAAAAAAAAAAAACTGACTAAGCTCATCTGGCTTTGGGGTACCATCTCTGACTCCCCACCTCCCCGCTGCCCAGTCCTCTCCAGCCAGCCTTAGGCCCACCACAGGACAAGCTCAGGGAAGAGTTGCCTTTGACCATGACCTGGTCATGTTCTACTCCATGTCCAGGGCCAATAACAACGAGGAACACTAACACAGGGGGAACAGACAGCACCCCAAGCCCCACCCTCCAGGGAACAGGATGCACATGATGGATCCTGAGGACTCTTGCTGATGAACAACCCCAGGGAGTGACTTCTCCATCTCACCAACGTGTTCTCACTTCCACGTCACCGGCACTCTGCAGAGCCTCGTCCCTGATCCTCCTCCTCAGGTCTCTCATCTCCTGAGCCTCTCCCCAACTTCTCCAAGGCACACAGCACTGTCACCTCACCCACAGGACCTCATGGTTTGAGCTCTTGTCACCTGGTGCCCTCTCGCTCCCACACTGACAAAGCCAGAAGGCCACTGACAAGGGCCCTTAGCTTTCCCATGCCCACAGGTGGCCTCAGAAAACCTGCCAGCCCTTCACCTCAAGCTGGCCTCCACTTCAAATAGTCCCATAGCCATCTGGACCGAGAAAGAACACCTGACCAAGACAGATCACAGATTCTCTCTGCCTGATTTTGAAATTAAAGATTAAAGGACACAGGGCTTGGGACTGTCTTCGATCATAAGCTTTAAGTTGGGATCCAAGCACATAGACCTGTGACTCACAACCAAACTGAGGTGGACGAACAGAACTGACGCTGGCTCTGCTATTCCATAGAGGGGACATAGGGACTGGGGAGACAGCTCAGCGGTTGAGAGCACTGGCTGCTCTTCCAGAGGGCCTAGGTTCGATTCCCAGCAGCCACATGGTGGCTAACAACCACCAGTTCCAGGGGATCCAATGCCCTCTTCTAGCCTCGGTAGGCTTGCATGACACAGATGCTCTTACATATATGTAGGCAATACACTCACTCACATAAAATAAAAATATTTTTTAAGGCCAGGCGAGGTGGCACACGCCTGTAGTCCCATCACTTAGGAGGCAGAGGCAGGTGGATCTCTGTGAATTCAAGGCCAGCCTGGTCTACATAGTGAGTTCTAGGACAGATGGGGCTACAGGGAGACCCTGTCTCAAAAAAGATCAAAATTTAAAAAAAAAAAGAAAGGGAACATAAAGTCACCTATGCGATCTACCAAAGTGATAGAGGTGAGTGTGGTGGTACACAGCTCCAATTCCAGCACTCAGGAGGCTGAGGCAGGAGGATCTCAAGTTTGAAGCCAGCCTGGGCTACACAGAGACCCCGCTCCCAAAACAAAATAGAACAAGCAAAAAGCAATTTAAAACCAGGCACAGTGACACAAGCCTGAAATCCCAGTATTTGAGAGGTAGAGGCAAGAGACCCAGAAATTCAAGGCAATCCTCAGCTACATGGTGAGTTCAAGGCCAGTCTGGGATGAAACCCAGGCACTACTGGGAGTAGGAAGTAAGGCTCTGGAGTGACACTCAGGAAAAGGAGGCTCCAGTCAAACAGACCCAGCTTGGAATCACAGCACACACACACTTACCCTTGGAGCCCCGGTTTCCACATCTCTTTTTTTCGGTCTTTTTTGAGACAGGGTCTCCCTGTAGCCCCAGCTGTCCTGGAACTCACTATGTAGACCAGGCTGGTCTTGAACTCACAGAAATCCGCCTGCCTCTGCCTCCCGAGTGCTGGGATTAAAGGTGTGCACCACCACGCCATCCACATCTTTTAAGTAGAGGTACTTTACCTTCCCATCAGGGCTGTCACACCGGTGAGAACACCTATGCAAAAGCTCATGACACGGTGCCAGGCAGCAAGCATGAGTTATGAAATGACAGCCATGCACCACCCTGGACTCTGCTTCCTGCCACCAACTCAGTGAGATTCCTAGTACACCAGTTAACCTTCCCCTGTTCTGGAGTGTCCTGGACCAGGTTCCTAATCCTTGGAATGAAAGGTTGTCATGACTAAGAAAGGCAGGACAAGGAAGCGCCTGCAGGTGTTCCCTCCAAACTTCATTCCACAAATATTTATGGAGTAACTACTACAGGCCCTGGGCTAAGGGCTGTGTCAAACAATTGGATTTGATCCTGCCCAGCCTTGTGGGGCTTACAGTCTTATGTAAATTAAATATTGCACAGGCTGGGGATAAAGCTAGCGGTAGAACCCTTGTCCTTGTCCCACATACATGAGGCCCTGGTACTCAAACCCTATATTAAGGAAGGGGGGGGGGTGGCATGTGAATCACACAGTGATCAGTGAGTGCCAGAAGGTGAAGTTGAAAACAACCAAAAGAACCAGCTCACGGCTCATGCTGTAGTAAGGAGGTGGCGTCTGAGCCAGGTTCCTTCATGATGAAATCTGCCATGAGAGCTGAGCCAGCAAAGGTCCTGAGCAGAGGCTCAGCTGCTTTAAGCACTACTAGAAGGTCAACAGGTTAGACATGTTGGATGAGGGGCCCTGCAGAGGCTGGAGGGGTGGTAGGGTCATTCTCCAAAGGCCCTCGTAAGTCACATTCAGGAGACTGGACCGGCCACAATGCCATGGAACAGCCCTGAAGGAAAAAGCACTATGCCTGGAGAAGTTTGGACTAGAAGGGGACTGGCCAGTTACAAGGCCTGGATGAAGAGGGGAGAGGAGGCTGCTTTCCCCTTAAAGGCAGCCTGATTCACACTGAGGGCTGACTTCAGGCTCAGAGAAGCTTCTAGAGTGCCCATACAGAATCCTCTGCTCTCTCCTAAGCACCCCCTCCCTCAGTTCTGGTGGAGCTATCACAAGGTGGCCGCCCACCAGCAGGGCCTGCTCACCCGGGGAAGGGAGGGCAGAGATAGAAGCAGTGCCTACCTGGTACCCGGCAGTGGCCATCCCCAGCTAGACCAACACATAGGAGAGAAGCAGCATACAACAACGGGGAGACAGGGCTACAGAGGCAGAATGTGGGGACAGATCACAGACACCATGGCTGTGCTGCCCTCACTAGCAGACGCCATGGGCATGTTAACCCCTAGAGGTTCAACTTCCTCATCTATTAAGTAGGCATAATTATACCTTCTGATGGGGCAAAGACAGGAAGAAGTCTGCCCATAGGGCTCCTCAAAACTGCCAAGTTCATTTCATTTTTTTCTTTTCTTTTCTTTTTTTTTTTTTTTTTTTTTTTTTTTGACAAGGTCTCCCTGTAGCCCCAACTGACCTGGAACTCACTATGTAAAGCAGGCTGGCCTTGAACTCTCAAGAGATCTGCTTGCCTCTGCCTCCCAAGTGCTGGGATTAAAGGCATGGGACATTACACCCTGCTCAAATACTTATTTTTTAGCAGAGAGAATGTAGAAATGGCAGAGACAGTGTCCCAGGCCAGGGAAGAGTGGGGAGACGTGACAGGGATGACAACGTGGTTCCCCAGAGTCAGTGCTGTAATAGAAAGAGGGTATTCATGAAGAACTAGTGAGACCCAAATAAAGCCTAGTCTAGTTCACAGTCATGGCCTACACTGGTTTTGACAGATGTATGCTATAATAGGGAACAAGGAAAATTGGGTAGGTAGACTAAACTCTACACTGTCCTTGAAACTTTGCTATGAATTTAAACTATTCCAAAATTAAGATTCTTAGCAAAGTATGACAGTACACACCTGTAACCCCAATACTTGGGAGGTGGAGACGGGGAAATCAGGAGTTCAAGGCCATCCTCAGCTATATAGAGAACTCGAGGCCACCCTGGGATAAAAAGAGACTATCTCAAACAAAACAAAAAATGAAAAGTACAAAGCTCAATGCATAGCACACAGTAGGTGTACAATAAATGACAGCCACTGTACAATAGTGTCTAGTAAGGACCTACTCAGCCCAGCACAGAGCTAACCACTCTGCTCTTATCTGAGACTCACTGCAATCCAGGACCACAAGACCAGTTAATGGGACAAGTGAACCAAAACAGGGTTCCAGGGACTCAGTCACTCACTGGTCAGGTTCTGTGCCTACCAGCCCAGACAAAATACAGTGACAACAGCAAAGGCTCAAAAACAATAGTCCCTAATCACCTAAGGAGCCAGTCGTGGTGGCCCACAGCTTTACTGCCAGCCCTCAGGAGGCACAGACAGGCAGATAGATCTCCGTGAGATCGCGGCCAGCCTGGTCTATATTGCAAGTTCCAAGCCCAGCCGGGGTGACAGGAAGACCCTAAGGGAAGGTGGGTGACTTCTGTGATACCTCAGAGCCCCTCCAAACTGCCAATCTTAAGACCCTGAAGTCAGGTGGTACCCACAGGAGGATGAGGATGTTTGGGACACAAGACTCCAGATGGGCTCCACCCCACAGTGGCAGCCTGGAGCCAAGACAAGTCTTCTCAGCCCACACTTACCAACACCCTGAGACAAGCTGCCTATCCTCTGGGTAAGGGAAGTGGAAAGGTCCTAACTCCTTCATTCCAGAAAGGAAACTGACATCCTGCCCCTGGGTCAAACTAGCCCAAGGCCATTGGCTTCAATAGATGTATTTATTTCAAAGTCCAGGGCCTTTCTGTTCCTGAAAGCCCTCCCCAGCACCCCCCAGGGATGGCAACAGAAAAGGGATGAGAAGTCAGGCCTTCCCATTCGGGTCACATCCAACTTTGCCCCAGCTCTGTCAGGCAAACTTCCCGAGGGTAGCTGGAAGGAGGGGATCTGGAACCCACCAGTTCCCTTTCTGACCAGTTCCCTTCCTGTCGGGGGTGTTCACAGTCAAAAGAGGCCATGAAACTGGGCTTCTTCCCTCTCAGAATGACAGAACTTCTCTTCCCCAGGGGTCTGGAGCCTGGGGAGAACGAGAAGTGAGGCAAGAGAGGGGAAAGCTTGGAAGGGGGCGCGGGCGCCTGCCCTGACTCCAGGTTGGACCTGATGGCTGGACCTCTGTCACCAGGGGGACAATTCTGGCCCTCTGGGTCTGATTCAACCCACCCACCTCATTGCGGGAAATGGCCGGCTGAGGATCCGAGCCTGGGGCGAGTGCATTAACGCTGCTGCAATGAGCGGGGACAGGGCAAGCCAGACGAGATTAGCTCGTCCAAGCAGGCTACACCCCGCACCCAGGCTGGGGACCGGGGTCCGCGGCAGGAGCCCCTCCAAACTGCCAATCCTAAGACCCTGAAGTCAGGTGGTACCCACAGGAGGATGAGAACGACCGCAGCGTGGCCGCCCTTCCGCCCCGCCCGCCCAGGGAGGCACTCACGCGCTTTGGGCCCAGGCGCGCCGGGGCCGCGGGACAGGTGAGCAGCAAGCCCAGGACTAGCAGCAGCGCGCAGCGCACGGCGAGGTACATGGCGAAGACGGGTCCACTCGAACCGGCAGTGCAAAGGCCTTTAAACGCCCACAGGTCGGTTATGCAAAAAGGACCATCCTCCGCCGAGCTCCGCCCCTCCCCGGCCGAGATTTCGGGCCCGGAGAAGGAGGGACTTCTCCCGGCTCCGCCCCAGACCCTCCCGCTGGGAGTCCGGCCCTCAACGGCTTCCCAAAGGGCCCACGAAGGCGGAGCCAGAGGAAGGGGCGGGGCTGCGGGAGAGTGGGGGGGCGGCTGCG